TTGATACGGTTGATACGGTTGATACGGTTGATACTGTTGATACTGTTGATACTGTTGATACGGTTGATACGGTTGATACGGTTGATACGGTTGATACTGTTGATACTGTTGATACTGTTGATACGGTTGATACTGTTGATACGGTTGATACGGTTGATACGGTTGATACGGTTGATACTGTTGATACTATTGTTACTGTTGATACTGTTGATACTATTGTTACTGTTGATACTGTTGATACTGTGGATACTGTGGATACAATTGATACTGTTGATACTGTGGATACTGTTGATACTGTCGATACTGTCGATACTATTGATACTGTTGATACTGTTGATACTATTGATACGGTTGATACTATTGATACTGTTGATACTATTGATACGGTTGATACTATTGATACTATTGATACTGTTGATACTATTGATACGGTTGATACTATTGATACTGTTGATACTATTGATACTATTGATACTGTTGATACTATTGATACGGTTGATACTATTGATACTGTTGATACTGTTGATACTGTTGATACTATTGATACTATTGATACGGTTGATTCTATTGATACTGTTGATACTGTTGATACTATTGATACTATTGATACTGCGTATTTATGACCATCATGGCCATTTATTCCAACTGAGCCAACTGTACATTTATATATATATTAAAACTACTACTACTACTAAAAGTATTGGGTTCTTCTATCCCAGACAATATAAGGTTTTGTGATGTTTTTATCTTCTGGTACAGAAGAACTCAATACTTTTAATTCTACTGAGAAGACGAGATGAATCTTCCTAAACTACAAATACTACTACTACTACTACTACCACTGTTTTCAAAGAGTGAGGAACAAAACTGTGCCTCACTACTACTATACTATTACTACTACTATTACTGCTACTACTACTATACTATTACTACTACTATTACTACTACCACTGCTACTACCATTACGTTGCCGAGTGAGAAAGAAGGTTGTGCCTCACTAATATTCATGAACTCTTTGACTACTTTGTGTTAGCAAGACAGCGGACCGCATTCCATGACACAGAGGGCCGCAATTGGCTCTCGGGCCAAAGTTTGGACATTCGTTCTATATCTTCATTTGATTGGACTTTGTTTCATGAACCTACAGTATTTTCACCATTAAACAAGATTCATTTTAGTTGTACTGCTTATAGCTCATTACTATTCTTGCAACAATATTAAAAACAAGCTTTAGAGTTTTGCCACTGGACTTCATTCACAACTATGACCGTCACTGCTGAATAAAGATTTCTTGGTTGTTCTGGACGTGGCGCTCTGCAGAGGTCGGCCGCAGCAGAAGTCTGGAACAGGGGGAATGCATTTGTAGGCTGAGTCCAAATCCTCGCCATGCCTGGTCTTTTGAGCGGACTCACGGGAGCAGGAGGAGTTTTCACTGCACATAAAGACTCAAAGGCAGTGAGCCAAGTGGGGCCAGAGATCAGCAGGGGCCCCTCCTCCCTCTGGGGGCCCTAGGGTTTTTCCACCAGCGCTCTGTTCTCCCTGGACTAGGTCATATCCATGGGGAAGCCACAGTTTAAAACCTGTATCATTATTGTGAGAAATAATTGTGTTAAAAGTATTTGAACTGGTTTTCCCTTCTCAATCGGCAATGAGCAATAACTATTCATTATTACTAAAATTATAAACACATTTAGTTATTATTAGCTACTTAAAGCTGGGGTACCTAACTTTTGGGTTTGATAAATAATGTGTGTCTTGTGAACACATTAGACCACAACATGTTATACTCTAAAAGAAGCTGTTGTGTGGCTTTCAAGGACCAAAAACCTCAATAAAGTCATAATTATGAGCAGGCACAATGTTGAATGTGAACGTAAAACCCAGTTTGGGAAAAGGCAGCGTTACAATGACTCCTTACACTGTGGCTACATTTGCAACCGGAAAACTGTTTCTATCACACACATCTGCAACAGTGAGATGTGTTTGTGTCAAGATTAGGCCAAGGTTTGGGTCATTTCTTAAAGTGTTACATTTTATCCCAAGATTTCAGATTTCTTTTGGAGAGATGTGTGTGCCCTTGTTGACTTCTGTTCTCAGAAAAGTTTGTAGAGAAGTGTCAAAAGCATCAAAGTACAACGTTAGATCCATAATTCTAAAATGGACGAACCGTGTACATGCAAGATTTACAGTTTTAAGCCCAGGAGTGTATTTCTGTTGTTTGAATTAGCCTAGCTCTAGCTTAGCATTAGCTTTGCTCACAGTATGGTTGCTGGAACAGTTATGTAATACCTCTGTGTGCAATTTTACACTGAACCAAAGGGACGTGTTTTGGCCCAATCCTGAACATTTAGACATTTGTCCATCGTGTTTTAGTCAATCTCATAACCTGGCACTTGTCATTACCTAATATGCATTTATAAAAATAACAAATATGACGGAAATGCTCCCATCTGCTCCCATCTCTGTATGGTGTGAGAAAACAAATGCCCGGACTCTGGACTGTGAAAAGGCGCTACATAAAAAAGATTACTTCCTTACAAACTTACTTATACATCACCATTAGCAGTGAGGGCAGATACAACTATACACAAGACTAATGTTTCCAAATGATTTTCAATGTTATTTTTGGATGATTTTGTAAATATCTCTGCAAATATTGTAAGTAACACTGTAAAATATTTGCAGCAGAAGCACAGTAGTAGTGTTTTTACAGCACAAAGCCTTGATAACTGAGACTTGACTATTCTGACTCCAAATACTTATATTAGCAGTTTTACTTTCTATCTTTTGAATCCAACTCACAAACAATTGCTTTAAACGTGCTGTGTTTTTACAGCACAAAGTCTTGATAACTGAGACCTTACTTAAAGCTAGGCTACGTAGCTTTCAAACCACACGAAATACCAGTTTAGTTGTATCACAAGTTTCCACGTGCATGTATTGTTTGGCCTCTGTCATGACTTAAAATAAACCTTTTCAGACAGAAAAGTGAAAAAGAGAGAACTGGGCTCCCTAATCAGCTCTCAGCCCAAAGTGTCAAATAGTGACTAAAATATCATGTTTTCTAATAAGATGCAGAGAGAATGTTGTGGTTTTTTTGTTCACAACTTATAAAACCTACAGTACATTTATGAATGAGTGTGTGCCCCAGCTGTAACCAACATGCATATTTCTCAAACAACTTCGACACACGCGTAAGAAAAACTGAGTGTTATAAAGTTATTTTCAAAATGTATTTTATTGGGAGAACTACAAAAATGTACAGTACAAAGTTAACAGTCTCACACTCAAAATTGTAGTGAACTGAACTCCCCGAAAATATCAGATCTCTCCGTTTGTCCGTTTGTGTTACATTCAAAAAGCTTTACTTCTGATAAAAGTAGTCAAAAGTACATAGTGCGCATCCCCCTGTACCTACTATGTACACCCAAATGCGTTTAACCAAGTCCCTCGCCAGCGAAACTCTCCAAAAAAACTAGATTCGACAACAAAAAAAGAAGAAATAATAATAATAATAATATAAGGAATGGGGTTTAGAAAAGTTACGGTTGTCTTGTCAGAGTGGTAACAACCTTGCTCTACATTCACTTCGACTTGTGTGTATAAAATATGTCGGAAAAATACTTTATTTGGTTAATCTTAAGGCAAGTCCAGGATGGTGAACTCCGAGTAGGCACTACATCAAAAACACTAGGGCACAAGGGATGCTACATTCTTTCGCACGTGGCTGGAATCACAGTGACACCTCGCGCAAGCAGAGAAATACTTTTTTGGTTAATTTAAATTGACTTGGGTTGTTTGACGCTGGTCTAACGAAAACAAGAACAAAAAAAAGAACGGTTTGGACGGTCTGTACAACCACATCGTTTATACATTCTACAAAAAAAAGGTCTAAATACAAACGGGAAAAGCCTTCTACACACTGACCCGGCCTCTGTAGCAAATCAGCACTCACGCAAACCTTAATAAACGTAAACCAAGAACAAAATGAATGAATGAAATAAATATCACATACGTTCTCTTAAATTAAGATTTTTTTTACTCATTTACAATAAAAATAACCACGTGAAGTTACAAAAAAAGGAGAAAAACAAAATATATATTACTGTGAAAAGAACATACACTCCACTTTATGCAGATTAATAATGGCGATCATAATTTAAACATAAAAGAATATAGATCTATTGCTTCATCATACTTGATAAATACAGTATGGACACAAATTACCAATGTAGCCTATACTTTTTCACAAGATAATAAATAAGTTAAATAGTCCATAGCCAGTTATGCACCGCTATGTAAATCACGCAAAGAAAAAAACTGCTAAAAAAATATATATATTCAACCATCAGCAGTGATTTCCCCAAACAAACCCAACTCAAGAGTGCTTTTCAACCCAGCAACAAGCGAGACTGACCAGGCGTCCACTGGGTGGCGCTGGAGAAGACAGACTGGAATGGAAGTAGAAGCTTAGGAGAAGAAAAGTTTGACAAAAGAAAAAAAGTGTTACTTTGAGTCAAGGCATATTCTTGGCAGGATGGAGGAAATCTGACACCGCTCTAGTCTCTTCTTCTTGTCAAGTCATGTTACACATCTAATCCCAGGAAAAGTGTGGCCTGCCTGATAGAGCCGAAGGAGGGGCTGCTCTGAGCCCTTGGGCAAGGCACTGGTGGAATGCCTTCTGTTACTATCTAAATTTAATACAGCTATATTACATACAAGAAACACTAGACTAATGCCAGGTCAAGGACACTTCTGACTGTTCATTGATCCCAGGTGGGCTTCTGCTCTGCCCCCCTCCAGGGAGGCCAGCGCAGCACGGCCCCAGAGCTGCTGTGGGGATAATGTCTTGCTCAAAGGCACTTCAGCTGGTGTCTGCCGCTGAAATGTAGTGGAGGGACAGTCACTGAGCCTCTGCATGATAGGGGTCAGTCTGAGCCCTCCACTCCCCTTTAGGCCATCCGTAATCCGTTCGAAAACAAAAACGACACCAAACTAGTTCAGTCATCAGAAATCGACAGCCTGCTGAAGATTGGCAAACGCCTCCCCGCGTCCAAACTTGGGGACTCGGAGCCACTGAGGCTCCCGGAGGAGCTGTAGCTCTCCCGGTCAGAGAGCGAGTCTGGGGGTGAGGAAGGGGGAGAGAACACCGGGGACTCGTTGAGGCGGCGCAGCGCCTGCAGGTGGCTCATGTTGTAGGAGGGAGGCGGGGATGGAGGGCACATGTTGGGCATGTTCCCGTAGTACGCAGCGGAGGTGTGCACGGCCAGAGGCGCCAGCAGCGCTTTGAGCTCCTGTCCCGGGAAGTGGAAGGCGCTGTTGATGCATGAGCTGGGAGACAGCGCCTCCTCGTAGAAGCTGGAGGCGGAGGAGGACGCACTGTTCTGCGGGGGAGGAGTGCGTGACGTGGGGCTGTCGAGCAGCGGAGACTCGAGCCCGTGGTGAGTGGAGAAGCCAGAGAAGCTGAGGCTGTGGTGGAGCTTTGGTCTGTCCCTCTGAGAGAAGAGCTGTGGGGGCAGCATGTCCCTCTGGCTGTAGCCGCAGCGCGGCTCTGGGGCCTGGGCGTTGGCGTTACCCGCGGGAGCAGGTCTCCGCTCGTCCGCGTTGTGGATAAAGTGACAGCGGGGGCCGTAGGGACAGAAGCCGATGGTGTGGAAAGTGCGGCAGGGCTCTGTCTTGTACTTGGGGTGTCGGGACAGGCTCCGCAGCTCGTGGTAACCGTGGGCAAACTGACACTTCTCTCCGTATTTACAAGAGCCGTTCTCCTCGAAAGGCCGACACAGCTCTGTCTTGTAGCGGGTGGAGTTGATCTGGGAGCCGGCTTTGGGCTGCAGCACGCCCCGCTCTGTGCTCTCACTGAACGCGCGGTCACGGAACTTGTTCTCCTTGTTCATGAGGGCAGTGGCGCTGCTGCTGTTGCTGCTGGGGGTGTTCTCCTTCAGGCTGCTGTAGGAGCCCAGAGGATACTTGTTGCCGTTGTTCATTGCCTCCAAGTTACTGGTGGAGTTTCTGCGGAAAAATCCAGGCGCGAAAGAGCCACCGGAGCCCGGGTTGACAGGCGAGCCCACCGCCTTCTTATCCAGCATGCTGTTAATGTGCAGGGCGTTCATGTTCATGCTCTTGTCCTGTGGAGAAAGGAGACATGAGTGAGCTGCAGACATCATTAAAGTACTTTGGACCACTTTGTCACAGTTAAAACACAACTTTACGCACAAGTCTGATGCGTGCGTGTGCATGAGCTCTTACCTTATAAAGCATGTCCATGTCGTAGAAAGCTGACAAGACCGTCGCAGACATCTCTTTTCCCCAAATATGCTGCCGCACTCCCTCTTTCATGGAGAACAGAGCAGTTGTTTACGCAAAGGCGCCTATTTGCCACGACTGGTTTTGTTTGGAGGCGAAAGTCTCTCCGAAAAGTTTCTCCAAAAAAGTGAAGAGTAAATCCGCAAAGTTGTGCAGGAGAAAGGGGGGCTGTAGTCGTGTTGTGGTCGCTTGTATCTGTGTGTGTGTCCTCCCCTTGTAGAAGCGCAGTGCCGTGCTTCAATGCGAGCCTCCACCGCGCGCTCTGTATATAAGAGAGCCCGGGGAGGAGCCTCCTGCAGCCGCCGCAAACTTCAGCGAGAGCCGCCTCCTCTGCTTTGGAAAAAAAACCAACTTCCATTCACCGGTTGGATGTCTGAGCCTCAACACCACGCCTTGAAATTCTAGCCGTGTGCTCCTCCTTCTCCCCCACTCCTCCCGCGATCCTTCACACAGCACTCACTCCAAAGCTCCCTTTCTTTTTTTCTACTTTTAATCACACAACCAATTTTGTGGAAGTTGGTTTTGCTTCTTGGGTTGGCTCTCGCTGAGAAAGAATGTACGGGAAGTCTAGCTGAGATTACAGCGCGCACACTGCACTCATTTGAGATGGATGTTGACTGCTCTGGTCCACAACTTCTGGGATAAACAAAGTATAAAGCAGTATAGTGTGAAACATATGTAAGAATTAGCTTTTTATTCAAGTTACATTGGCTATCCACGTGTTGTTTATTCATTCACAGCAACGTGGAGTGTATAACTACACTTATGATTTTGGATTTGCAAGGATTCTAAGTTGTTCCAAACTCTCTTCTGAACAGTTTACGCACGGACAAAGCGGTGCGTAAAAGTGCCCACGCTCTGTACAGTTGCACCCACTCCATTCCCGTCCAACACACTCCACCAAAACTTCATATCGTGTTGAAATAACGGCACAACTTCAGTCCCAGCACCTCGCCTTCTGTTGTGGTTGGATTGGGAACGGGGCAAAGGGTTACGCGCACAGACAGACTCTCCAACACATGCATGTATTTTTAAAGCAGCAACAGCAGTAGGGACCTTCCAATGACAAGGCCACCCCAGCGGCGTGCGTCCAGCAGCCACGCCGAGCCAAGCCAAGGCAAGCACCAGCCTTCCCCTCTCTCCCTCCCTTTTCTCTCTCTCTCTGCTCGGTGGACGCTGACACACACATTTAATGGAAGGAAACGCCACGCACCCCTCCACCCCCCTTACCCCTCAGCTTCTCCCTGCGGACGGGGTGAGACTTCAAACTATGCTCTATGAACTAAGCACAATTTTTAGCCTTCTACTTGTTGCATAATCCCATAACGAGCCTATTCCCGTTCGCAACAAGCACATAATAGTCCCAGAGAGAATGCTACACCGTGACCTAGTTTTAAACAATGTGAAAAGTTGAGTTTAAAAAGAGCCAAAACGTGGATAAATGAGAGTTGTGGAGTGGAAAGCGCGCTGCTGTTGTCCCGTCACCGCACAGAGCCACACTGGGCTGATTTAGGTCTTTCCTTTTCTTCCAGGCAGCCTTTCTCAAACTTGTTTTTCTCCAGAGCTGCTGCACTGAAGGAATGTGGGGTTTCTTGTGGATTTTTGTCATGGAGCAACAGTGCCACCTATGGAGAAACAGGGGTACTGACGCTGGCAAAGGACAATGCGCCCCCTGCTGTCTTAAAGGGGAAGGCAGGATTAGGAGATGCATTAGTGTAATTGAGGATTTTGTTGTTGTTACAGGTCTGTGTGACGTAATAGTTACAGATACGAGCCCATATGTACTCGCAGGTAAACATGTGATTAGTAGATCAGCGGACAAACTAAAACACAAGATTGAATGAAATCAAATAGACACTTTAGCTGACCTGTTATGCAATGTTATATCGAATGACTGCGTTAGACAAGGCAAACAAAGGTGAAAGGCAAGGAAAGACAAGGGTTTATTTGTATGGCACAATTCATGCACAAGGCAACTCAAAGCACTGAACAAAACAAGACAGAAAGCATCACACAAGGCTTTAAAATGTTTGATAATTAATAATCACAGCACATTAAAAAGAGTAAAGATTAAGAAAAAGAGTAAAGATAAAGTAAAGTGTAGTGAGAGGTTGTTATAACTTTTTTTTCCCCCGTATTTTTGAAATGATTTGGAATGATTGTAATTTAATCACAAAGTTCCACATGTTGTATTAGGATTTGAATCTAGTCCAGATTTCTCTACGGAAACTATGATAACGTTGACAAATATTTTTCCTGGTCGGACCTTGAGAATCTAACAAAGTTAAAATGAAAGACTTATTTCAGACATAATTCTTTTTAAAACAAATACACTGCATTTACAAAACATATTTCCAGACCTTTCATTTGTTTAAACCTGTTATGATTTTAGGACCTGCTGCAGGATCTCCAGCCTCGTTCAGTGGCTCCTTTGGCCTTGACAGAGAATATTATTCAGTATTACTACTGAATTATTATGAATTGTACGATGGTGGTTGATCACGATGCGTCTTGTTGTGCAGTTGGTGTAATATAATAATTCCAATTCATGTTTCATTAGTTTTATTCAATGATTGTAAAGGGTTTGATGCATGTGCAAAATCTCTAACTTTCAATCTCAAACTGCTACTAGATAACTGCCAAACTATTACACACTAGAGGTATTGTAAACTGTCAAATAAGTAATAACATTCAAGTAACAGTTCAACATCTGGACTGAAGGTGATTGATATTTTCGCACACTATTTTCTATCGTAAACTTGCAAACAATATAAATCTCCATCGATAATGCACTTCTCAAATTCTCAACTATCACAGTGTATATTTATCGAACATTTCTTTTCCAAACACCCAATGATTTACAAAGAAACATGACAATTGTGCTTTTCACACCAGTCGGTAAACATCTGAGCACATCTTTCTGGTTCCTCTCCACCAGTTTCCTCCACTCTGTCAGAGCAAAGTGTGGCCACAGCTGCCCCTGCCCCGCATCAGGTCAGCTTCACGGGACGTCCAGAGCAAAATGTCGAACTCTCCCAGAAGAAAGCTGCTGGATTCCCGAACCAACAGTCAGTGGAAAGACTGTGGAGCTCACAGCCTCTCGAACGCTGCATCAGGACAGGGATTCAGGAGCAAAGGGGTAAAAGAAATAAATAGCTCTGATAGAATATTATCATTTAGCTTTATTTCAGACTCCATATTGTAACGAATAAACAATAGTCATAACACAGCAGGTAAAGTGACTAGAGCGACTAGTAAAGTGACTACAGCGACTAGTAAAGTGACTACAGCGACTAGTAAAGTGACTAGAGCGACTAGTCAAGTGACTATAGCGACTAGTACAGTGACTAGAGCGACTAGTAAAGTGACTAGAGCGACTAGTAAAGTGACTACAGCGACTAGTACAGTGACTACAGCAACTAGTACAGTGACTACAGCGACTAGTACAGTGACTACAGCGACTAGTACAGTGACTATAGCGACTAGTACAGTGACTACAGCGACTAGTAAAGTGACTACAGCGACTAGTACAGTGACTATAGCGACTAGTACAGTGACTATAGCGACTAGTAAAGTGACTAGAGCGACTAGTAAAGTGACTATAGCGACTAGTACAGTGACTATAGCGACTATAGCGACTAGTAAAGTGACTATAACAACTAGTAAAGTGACTATAGCGACTAGTAAAGTGACTATAGCGACTAGTAAAGTGACTATAGCGACTAGTAAAGTGACTATAACGACTAGTAAAGTGACTATAGCGACTAGTAAAGTGACTATAGCGACTAGTACAGTGACTATAGCGACTAGTACAGTGACTATAGCGACTAGTACAGTGACTATAGCGACTAGTAAAGTGACTATAGCGACTAGTACAGTGACTATAGCGACTAGTACAGTGACTATAGCGACTAGTAAAGTGACTATAACAACTAGTAAAGTGACTATAGCGACTAGTAAAGTGACTATAGCGACTAGTAAAGTGACTATAGCGACTAGTAAAGTGACTATAGCGACTAGTACAGTGACTATAGCGACTAGTAAAGTGACTATAGCAACTAGTAAAGTGACTATAACGACTAGTAAAGTGACTATAGCGACTAGTAAAGTGACTATAGCGACTAGTAAAGTGACTATAGCGACTAGTAAAGTGACTATAGCGACTAGTAAAGTGACTATAGCGACTAGTAGTGACTATAGCGACTAGTAAAGTGACTACAGCGACTAGTACAGTGACTATAGCGACTAGTAAAGTGACTATAGCGACTAGTACAGTGACTATAGCGACTAGTAAAGTGACTATAGCGACTAGTCAAGTGACAATAGCGACTAGTAAAGTTACTATAGCGACTAGTCAAGTGACTATAGCGACTAGTAAAGTGACTAGTAAAGTCACTATAGCGACTAGTAAAGTGACTATAGCGACTAGTAAAGTGACTATAGCGACTAGTAAAGTGACTATAGCGACTAGTAAAGTGACTATAGCGACTAGTAAAGTGACTATAGCGACTAGTGAAGTGACTATAGCGACTAGTAAAGTGACTATAGCGACTAGTACAGTGACTATAGCGACTAGTAAAGTGACTATAGCGACTAGTAAAGTGACTACAGCAACTAGTAAAGTGACTATAGCGACTAGTAAAGTGACTACAGCGACTAGTACAGTGACTACAGCAACTAGTAAAGTGACTATAGCGACTAGTCAAGTGACTATAGCGACTAGTAAAGTTACTATAGCGACTAGTAAAGTTACTATAGCGACTAGTCAAGTGACTATAGCGACTAGTAAAGTGACTATAGCGACTAGTAAAGTGACTATAGCGACTAGTCAAGTGACTATAACGACTAGTAAAGTGACTAGAGCGACTAGTAAAGTGACTATAGCAACTAGTAAAGTGACTATAGTGACTAGTAAAGTGACTATAGCGACTAGTACAGTGACTATAGCGACTAGTAAAGTTACTATAGCGACTAGTAAAGTTACTATAGCGACTAGTACAGTGACTATAGCGACTAGTAAAGTGACTATAGTGACTAGTACCGTGACTATAGCGACTAGTAAAGTGACTATAGCGACTAGTACAGTGACTAGAGCGACTAGTAAAGTGACTATAGCGACTAGTAAAGTGACTATAGCGACTAGTAAAGTGACTAGAGCGACTAGTAAAGTGACTAGAGCGACTAGTAAAGTGACTACTGGATTATGTAGTAGTAAGTAGTCATCTTTTTTTATATAGCACCTTTCACAGAGTCACAAAGCACTTTACATTTGTTATGGGCATTCGTCCCTCACTCCTCAGAGATGGGGGCGGGGCTCGCCGTAGCACCCGGAAGAAACCTATGCAGACACACAGGAGAACATGCAAACACAGAAAGGTCTGGAGATTAAACAAACCCAGGACCTTCTTGCTGTGAGGCATAAGCGCTAACAGGTGAATGGCAGGTGCACGGACTCAGCAGTTCTCATCGTACAGTCTGACAGCAGCAGGAAGGAAAGACCTGCGGAACCTCTCCTTCACACAGTGAGGGTGAATTGTTTTTTAAAAATATTTATGTAGACATTAGATATTAAAATTCAGTCAAAGTATTCGTATTACATCTGAAAAAGTGAATTGTTACCATAAATAAGTGAAAAAAATGAAAAGTGAATAGAAAAATGAACTGAAACATATTTGTTCTCTCACATTCACCCTCGTCTGAAGTCAATGTTACTGAACATTATCTTTATCCTGCGTCTTGACTCTATATTTGGAAGTGACACAACATTTATGGTTTCACTTTGAGTAAATAAGATTCTCTCAAAGGACAGAAATGAAATGTTACTTCAGCAAAACTTAAAATGAGTTTGTTGGTCCTGGAGACGCGGCTCCAACACTTGACGCCAGATTTTTTAATAATGATAACACGTTTTTACTTTCAATTCAGTGACATCCAAATCCTCACTGTCTTTAGACCCTCCTGCATCGGCAAAGAACGACTCAAAAACCCAGTGGGGAATAAGTGAGAAACCTCGGGGAGACCCACATTGAGAGGGATCTGCTCCAACGGAACGACACGTGACTTTTACAGTGACCGGGAAAAGACATCCTCCTCTGCACATGTAGCTCTGTTTATGTCACACTAAGTGGAGAGTGGAGCTTTGTGCTGGAGTCTTAATTACAAAACCAGTGAAAGCAGAAGGTGAGAGAGCCGGCTCCAATGGGAAGGAATTTAATATTGCAGGAAAACAGCACCTCAGTATTCAAACAGTATTAAGAGTTTAAACAGTGGAGACCTGCGCATGGACTAAAAACAGCAGATAAAGCATTTCTCTGTAAAAAACAAGAAGTGTTTCAATTTAACGTCACCAAGTTATAGTAAAGTATATCACACACTAAAGATGTACTAACTTGTATCTGATTACATCTAAATGGTTTTAAAACACACATGTATCAATAATATATCAGCAACAGTTTGGTCAAAATATTTAATGAAAATGTAAAAAAACAATTATTTGACAACAGTTTTAAAACACAATATTATTAGAGAGCAATTTCAGACAACGTTTTGAATCTTAAGAAAAGTCCTTCACGTAAAACAAACACTTTCTTGGTGTTTATTGTTGCTGTCAGGACGTCTTCAAATGGAATTCCTCTTTTCAGGCTTTTTGGTCCCAATTCCAAACCAGAAACATTTATGATCAAATGTTTCGTCCGTTTCTCTTCAGGTTTAACATTTACGGCTCGAGGTAAAACTGAACGTTAAATATACTTCTGCAACAAGTCGTGGTTCCATAAACACTGATCCGACATTTATGATGTTTTTACCATTTTTAAAACCTCTTCTTGCAGTTTTAAAGAACAAAAACAATTTATTGGGATTAATTTTGTCCCTTAAAATATCAAACACATGGAAAACATGTGAAGTGAGAAATGACGAGAGTAACTTTATTTATTTGAATCCTTGGTTTGAAGACACGCAGTTTTAAAAAAATGTCCAAGTTTTAAAAATAAAACCAATAAATGACACAGACTCATTACCTGCAAAGTGACACATGCCAACACCTTGTTATCATTATGTAGATTATGGCTCAAAACTATTTTAAAAATGTTCTACTTTTCTGAAATTATTTATTCTAGGTTATTACTGTGAGACAATTATCAACATTATTATAAAAAAAGGCTTGATATCTCTCCCTCTGTGTAGAAAGAGTGTCAGATATAAAGTCATATGCAGCGCAGGGACATGTTTGTGCCAATTTGTGTTCAGGATATCAACATGAACGAAGCTAAAAACTATAACTATAATGTTGTATCACTGTTAAAAACGTAATAATTAGATGATGAAATGCAATAGTTCTTCCAGATTTCCATGATGTTTTGTCTGTTGTCCTTCTACCTGATCTGGTGCAGCACGTCTGCAGCCCTCTGAGCCCGCTGCAGCCTCAGCGTCAGCCGAGCGTGCTCCATGGGCCCCGTGAACTGTGGGAGAGGACAGAGCGAGGACAGGGACCTCACAGCGGCCTGAGTCTGGCTCTGGGCCCGGTCTGACAGAGTCCTGACGCGGTCCGGGTCTGAGGCCGGAGACTCTGGGTCCTGGGACTGCAGCAGGGCGGCGAGATGTCGGTGCAGCAGCCGGACCCACTGCACCGGCTCCGCCCACAAGTTCAGCTCGCCCTTTTCAAACAGGAAGTCCTCGTCGTCCTGTAGAGACAGACAAGACGTATTAAAGCTGGGCTACCTAACTTTCAAACCACAGACATTTTTACAATGCGATCAAATCCAACGAACCCATTGGTTTCAAACTCATTCTTGTCGGGGGCCAAGTTTAGAAACATTAGAGCTGATTGGGGCCAAAAGTATAAAAGTGATTCACATTTATTATCATTTTTTGACAAATTAATTTTCTAGTAGGTTTCAATTCAATCACAACTGGGCCATATATCAAAAAAGTTGTAATTGAAGATTTATAGTTCAATATAAATCTTAACTAAACTTCTAATTACATGTTAGTTAACATTTTAGAGAAGAGGACATTTAAAATGAAGTATAAATTGCCACAGAATCTCACTACCCTGAATGCTTCAAGTTTCTGTCATAATAATCATCGACAATCACTTCTGGGGCCACTAAAAATGGTCTCGGGGGCCTGAGTTGGACATACCTGATCCAACTAGTTCCTCGCCCTCAAAACAGTTCTAGCACTAGTTTTCATATGCATCTTTGCCACAACATGACATCAGCGATTTCAGACAGAAGTGAGGAAAAGACACCCATTATATTTGTTTGAAAATTGTGCCACACTTTATTTATCGCTGCTAACTAACTCGGTATTGCACCTTTTTGGACTGTTTTTAATATATATGTTGGGAACTTGCACTTTTTATTTGAACTGTGATTTAATATGTAAGTTATATGGTTGTATTGTCAAGGACTACAGATGGAAAGTCGCAGGTGCTAAATCTGGAGCAGCCATTAATATTACTATTATTAGACAATTAATGCAAACTGCACTTTGTCTTTAAAATAATAAACTTAAACAGGGATCTTTCTCATAAGCAAAATATAACATGTTTTCCAATAAGATGCAGACCTTTGACTTTACACACAATATATTCATGATAACTTAGTCCTAACACATGGAGTGACTGATTAAAGTGATAGTCTGGAACTCTAAATGAATTACAAATTTTAAGAATTGTGTTAAATTGACCTCCTGGCCTTAAATGTTGATATAAAATAAGTCATTTTATTAATTCTAATATTACAGGTAAGTCCCGCCTTCCCTTCTCTTAGCTATAGTTCAGAATCCTCGATGCCGTCCACGTTAACCAATCGAGTCATGCCAAGGGCTGTCAATCATCGGCGCTGATGCTCGTAGCTGCTCATGCTCAGTTTGTTTGTTTTCGCAGAGCCTCCGAATCAAGCCTCTATTAGGCTCTGGAACTACATGAAAACTGAACAAAGAATTCTGAACATCTGCGCTGAGGTACTTATGTATATTCTGAACCTATATCCATAATCATTTATATACTGAACCTATATCCATAATCATTTATATACTGAACCTATATCCATAATCATTTATATACTGAACCTATATCCATAATCATTTATAAACTGAACCTATATCCATAATCAGATCCTCTGCAGATGTGTCCTATAATGTGCAATTCATGATATTAGCACTTCCTGGTTTGCCGCGATCGCTGTGCATAAAAACATTATTTTTTTCATGAAAACGTTTACAAATAATTCTGAAAACCTCCGTGCATGTGTATTAATAATGTATATGTATAATGTGTTCTCTGATTAACATTTAAAAGTGTTGCAGAAACGTAGGTGTAGACCAATCAGAAACGAAGGGGGAGGAGCTTGCGTCGTTTTTTTCCAATCAAGTACCTCTCCCTCTTTCTGACAAACTGCAGACAATCACTTTAATACTGTACTTCTTTGTAAATGACTAAGTCCCTGTGGCTGAAGAATACATGAAGCTCAGAGACTTTCAGAAAACAATGATTATCACAAGTTCTGCAGAACCCACGCTCAGAGCACACACATCAGCAGTTACAGCTACACGTGTGTTTAACATAATACACGTTTACGAACACGTGGACAGGTTTGCTCCGAGCTGTTGCGATGGAACAACCACAGAAGCACAACCAGTCCACAGATACGAAATGTAGCTTCTATGTCGACAAAATGACAATGACACACAATAAAACCTCTGAAAACACTTTGGTTCTGTCACTAGTTTTAGATCCTTGTCGTTTTGCATGTCACATGTTTAGATCAGCTTTTAGCATTGTGGTTAGGGGCCTAAAAGGGACGCAAATGAGCCTTAGCTACAAATGTGGTAGTATTTCACGTGTTGATTGTGTCCCTATAAAAATCATGAATAAATCAAAATAAACAAATCCGGGACCACGCTCTCCCAGCTCCAGAATCCAAGAGAAAACATATTTTCTGATAATTCATTTTAATTCTCTCTATTTCTGTACAGCCGTAATTCTCGACAGCAGTCACCTCTCAAAATGGTCAATTTGCAAAGAACAGATGAGAGAATCAAACAATAAAACAAAAGAACCCAGGAGCCATTGGTCATGTTCATAAATGTCTACTAAAGAAGATAAAAACAGAATGCTGTGGTCTCATTTGCTCACAAAATGTTACTTTTACAAAACTTGGATGTATGATTTATGAAAACAGTTTAAGGTCACAGTGAGGCGTTGCTACAGTCGTCTTTACAGGAAGTGTGGGACAGTGTGGTGAGGTTTGAACTCCACTGCCGCCCCACAGAACGACACGGCCCTGTGTGAGCTCTGACCCCACTGTTGACATAAGAAACCCTAAATGAGCCACTTCAAAGCCGCGCCGCACCGTCGCATTTACGGTGACAGAGTGACACTGTTTACCCCCTGCACGGCGATAGGTCAACACTTCTCTGAACCAGCGCTGGCTCTTTGAAAAACACCAATTGTCAGTGTGGTGCAGATGTGTTGTCGCTGCAAGTCCATTCTATCTTTGTGATCCATATGTTTCTGTGTGTGTATTGTCTAGTGAACGGTACAACCCAGATTTGTTCTCGTCCAACCCTGGCCTAAGTACGGACTATTGTAATTACATGGGTTCCTCCGACCATAACATCAGCACTTTGAGGTTTTCTGGAAATGTATGGTGCAATATAAATAAAATGCATTATAATTATTATTATCGTCATCAACAGGTGTGTCCATTGGTTAGCACTTTCGCCTCTCAGCAATAAGGTCCTGGGTTTGAATCCCGGTCGGAACGGGGTCTTTCTGAGTGGAGTTTGCATGTTCTCCCCGTGCTTGCGTCGGTTTCCTCCGGGTACTCTGGTTTACCCTACCACTAAAAACATGCTCACAAGGTTAAATCCTCCAGCTGCGGTAGTCCTGACCAAGCCGAGCCTCAACATCTGGAGATGGGTTCCCGGGCGCTGTTACCACGGCGACCACTGCTCATGACGTAAGCCTTAGCGGTCAAATGCAGAGGATGAATTGCCCTACAGGGATCAATGAAGTGCACCTTTACCTTTACCATCTTCACAACTCTTATAAACAATAGACAGGAGGAATAGATGGGGAAAAGGAGGAAAAGGCAAAAACAACAGTTGGACATGAGCGGAGGGGGATGTTTCAAGTCAAACTGAAGGCACTGGTCAAGACAACCTCCTAACTTGGAACTGAGCGTTCATTTCACTTGTTGAAAACACCCCATGCACCGCAAACAATGATAACATGATGACATATGAGGAGATACATGCACAAATCATGTCGTTTTTTACTTTAAATAAGTAAATTTTGTCTAAGATTTAACAACGGTACAAACTGTTTGGTATTATTTCAAATGCAGATTAAATTAGGTAAGAATTTATTTTCTGGTCTCTTTTCAAACAAGACATTTTTGCATGTCCAGTCTCCGTCTTAGCCTTCTACTAAGTGCAAGTCTAATGATATAGTTTATACCTTAGATGAGATTTTTATGCAGAGATTCAACTCAATAATAAAACTGTTTATGGTCTTATCTTATATATCTGCCGAGTGCTGGTAATTCCTTTTTCATCCTATTTTCGAACCTATGCCTCCAAGACTTGAGAATTGTAAACGTTGATGCACGTTTCTCCCGATACTTTTGAGACCTCAAAAAATGGCACTTGTTAAAACGTTTGTGATTCTTTCACTGTTCACCCAATGTGGACGTAATTACCCTCAAATTAAAGATAGCACTGCAGATAAAGCAAATCTTTCATTCAATTTCAAATCCCTGTGGACCAACATCTGTGTGTGATCTCCATTCTCTGTTTGATTCTCTGATTTGCGATTCTTTCGGATAACTGCTGCTGTGATACAAGACTGCATTGAATTGTGGTTGTGTGGTTACAATTATGATATGTGTGTCAATGTCCCGATATTTATGAATCTAAATGTACATAAAAACAACTGCTATTCCTCGATAATGATTGATACTGTAACATTTTTCTTTCATACCAGACTGGGCGCCTCTGCCGACTCTTCTGGGCACGCTTCTTCATTTCCCATCAGCCACTCTGCCAGACTCAGGACCCCCTCCGAGAGCCTCCCCCACTGATGGAGCAGCCGACACAAGATCCCCACAGCGGAGTCCAGGGCCAGGGGCGGGCAGACCGAGGAGCGGCACACATCTGCGGACCATCAACATGCGTCAGTCAAGATCTGTTTAAAAAGACCATCAATCTATTCAAAATGACAAGTTTCCAAAAGGCCAGGCCACGGCGATCACACATCACACGTATGAAGCGAGCAGGAAGTTGTCATCGGCTGTGTATTTTAAAGAAGACATTTCATGCATTATTTTTGGCCATTGAAAAATATAATCAGACTGTTTACTTTGTCATTTCATGTTTTCGAATGTGGAATAATATCATCAGTAGAAAATGTATGGTGAAACAAGTATGTAGGAGAAAAAAATGCTTTCTACCTGTAACTCACTATGCTGCCACCAGAGGGCGAGTTATTACCGGCAGTAAACACGCCCATTTATGAGAGTTTAAAGAACGTGAAAAATTGCTAAACTTCAAATACAGGCAATGCCTTTGTTTTAAAAAGGCATAAAACTGCTTTGGGTGTGATGTCATAGTGGTACAATGACATCACCACTATGACATCACACAACTGCAGGACTGAGAAGGGGCGGAGTTACATGTTTGGGCCAGAACTCCCTGTTATTAGCGTGGATGAATCTAAAAACAACTCCAGTGCCTTCCTCCCACTCCTTGACTTTGAATAATGTACAATATTTTTATAAGTAGTTGTAAATGGACGATTTGCTGGAAAATTCTATGTAATGACATTTCATAATTAAAATTTGATGTACATAGGACTCAAAATATATAAGCACACAACTCAACATGGTTAAACGCTAAAAAGAAATCTCTCTTTTTTAATGTCTATTGAGAGATGAAAATCCAAGTAAAGTCATGGCTGTGTCTAAACGGAACAGAAATGTAATACCCTTGAATATTTCATGTTTGAGACATCGTGTCTTGAGACAAAAATGACATTGGGGAAAACATTACAGGAATCACTGGAGTCGGTCAGCGATCCAAAATAATGAAAACAAGTCTGCAGCTACAAACGAAAGTGAAATTACGACCTAAAAAAGTTTCCACCAGCTGAACATTTCAAAATGTATAGAAAACGACAAAATACATCCTTCTTTAATGATCGTCGCAGGTTCGAAAAACCCACTTATTTCAACAAAAATGAAACAATAAACTAAACGGGGACGGTTCGGAATCAAATCACAAGACTCTGACCACCTGTGAGGATGTCATTTATTTCAAGGCTCAAACCTGTGTGTGTTTGACCAAAGAGTTCTCGGAAACAAAGCCGTAACTTACCCGGCCGACCACAGACAGGGAGCAGCTTCAAAACACTCACTTAACCAAACGAGGAGACTTCACACACTCGGACAGGACACACACTGCAGACGCCGCCATTTCACTGGACGGAGAAAAGCAAATCGGATTCTGGAATATTGTTAGGTGTTGAAAGAGACATGGCAGACTCAAGGACGTCCCGCAGACAAAGTTTGCATTTTTGAGACCGTTTCTTTGTTATTTCTAAGTTAACGGGCTCTTTGATTGATTGACGTAGTTCATTGGAGCAGAAATTACACATAATTATTTACGTTCCTTAGTTTATGGAGAAACTTGCCTACTGCACTTACACACACACACTAAATTCTTACTACTACTACTATACAATCAAGCAACAGTATTTTCCATAGTTTCACCATGTGTTGGTTTAAATACAATAACAATTTATCAGCTCGACGTGGCGCGGGAAAATCTGCATCTTGTTCTTGTTACGTGCAAGTACGATAAATACACAGACGATTCCAAAAAATACGGAACAACTAAAGCAGGACTAGACCAATCTGGACAGCCCTTGTTTGTGGATCTTTCATTCTCACAGTTCAAAGCTTAAAGGCTCCATGATAGAAACCACAGCTTGTTGAGAACTGGTTCAAATCTGAGTGCAGCAAAAGATCAAGTTCCCCAATCAGAAAAGAGCAAGAAAAACCAAACAAAACAGAGGTGTTGAAAGTAATGTCATTTTGCAAACAAGATCACAACTGCAATCGGCTGAATAGTTGTCGAGAAGGGATAATAACAGAACGATGCATGGACGTTTGCAGCCGACGCGGTCCTTAGATGTGAGATTGGAGTGGACTTTGAAGACATGCACGTGTGAGATCCCAGAGGCTTGAGAAGTCGGGTTTACAAACAGCTGACGTGAGTTTGATCCTGGGGACTTCAAACCTGGTGCGAAGTGTCACAGTGGCCCTCTGCAGTCACAACCCGTCCTCTCTGTCTGACTTTGGACAGCAGCGGTTCCACAGTCCCAGTATTTCAATGTGGGGGCAGGTGCCAAGAACAACTCCGTGGGAAAGAAGACATTTTTGAAAGAAATATTGGACGAGAAATTAAGAGAAAATTGATAATTATACGACAGTGATTAGATTCACAGACCCTGCAATATTGTTCTTATGTCTGACTACTGGCCAATGAGCATGTGTTTTTAGAATACTGTCAACACTTCTAGACACCTTTATGAGAAAAATGAATAGACCGTAGTTGATGTTCTGACAGATCTGGAGGCTTGTTTCATTTGGATTGTCCCGGGAATGAGAGAATTTAGCAAAGAACTGACTTTTGACACTTACCAAAGTTACCAGGAAAGAGTTTTCAGCTGCCCTCCACCACAATTTTAAACAATACTAAGCAATGTTTATTATATAGCGCATTTTTACAGACCAAGGTCACCCAAAGCTCTTGACAATGTACAAAGTTCAGATATTGTTCCAATCACTCAATACACGGTGATGACGGAAGAGACGCCGAACACACTGGAGCATCAAAGCCTCCAACCAACACCATCCATTCACCCTTTCATATACATTCATACCTATTGTACATGTGCTTAGTGGTAAGGGAAACTGGAGCACCCGGAGGAAACCTACGCACCACTCAGAAAGACCCTGTTTCCCACCGGGATTCGAACCCAGGACCTTCTTGCTGAGAAGCGAGAGTGCTATCCGCTCAGCCACCTATAGTCTTTTTAAAGTGGTCAGGTCTCATTAACACAACAGTATTAGAGAAATTCGTTCCAAAAACAAAATGGGAATATATACTGGGATTAAAGCAAGATATCAGTTGGGTTTAGTGCTTTTTTTGCATTTTGTCTCATGCTTGTGCCTCTCTCCTCACCGGGAGAATGTTTTCCTCCAGTCCCACTTCCACCAACCTGCAGCCGACACCACGAAACCAGCGCACACACTTCAGACGTCTGAGAGGCAGCACCACTATGGAAACAACCAGGAGAGGTTCAAGACCAGTGACCCTTGCGATGTACACCACAACTACCGGACACACAGTAACACACGTGAACCCTTCCAAACACAACCGCAAACACACACATCCAAACTAATCTAAATACATGAATATATAAAATGGCGAAATGGGATTAAATTGGGAGAGTAAAATGGACCTATTTCAAGATTAAGACAAGATTAAGATCCACGTCTGAGGAAGTTTGTAGTCAGGATTTAAGATGGAGTGGAAGCATTTCAGATTCATGCAGCTATCATCTGGAACAGTCTTCTTGACAACGTGAGACAGGCTTCTATTCAATGTGAAAATCCAGGTTAAAATGTTCTTTTTAACATACAATTAAATTTGGGATTTTATCTACACTCTTTCTTGTTAAGCACCTTGGGTTGCCTTAAGTGTTAACTGTGCTATACTAATAAACTTGCATTGCTACTTCTGGTGATACCTGGATTCCTTGGCCACTTTTTTCCCCTCTGTCCTCTTCATTTTAAAGGCCTTAAGAAAGATGTAATCCAAATACAAACCTGGTGCATCCCTAATTTGGATTTCTCAAAGTTTTGGACATGAAGAACATATGTCGGCATTTAGAAGTCCAAATATTCAGATGTGGTGAGAATCAGTGACCAAAGAAGGGAAAAGAAAGCGAAAACTGAAACCAAAACCTGATCAAAGCCAGGACTAAACTGGGACAACTCAAATCAGTTCCAATCCATAATAGAAATCTCGTTTGAATCATGGCAAAACCAGGAAACGACTCAAAAGTTCTACCACTAGAAATGCTCCACGTTCCCTTTATATTTCCCATATTCACAATCTCAAACCTCTTTCCGCAAAACCGATCAGCCAGATAGTTTTACTCTTCAGAGAGAGGCGTGAAATCAGCCACGGGGGAAACTTTCCCGCACGCCGATTGCCCTGTATTAGTGCAGATTTAGGAGTTTAGGAGCTTGAGTGACAAATTCTTTTCTCAAGGACCAGCTCTGCCTTGAAGTCCAGTCTTTTTACAGTCAGAGCCCTCCTCCTGTAAACCCGACATTAGGGCGTATAATGGGAAACTTTAGCCGCGCTGAATTTATCCACTTCTTCGAAAACATTTCACACATCACTAAACACGATTCTGCCGTTTCTCAAGGGGATAGTCTTTCACGCACTTACTGGCATGCGTGTAGAATGGAGGCACTTAGATTATTAAGCCTGCGCTGGCATGTCTTTGTGTTGTGAAGTCGTCATTTGTAATGGAAGGGGCATTTTGGTGCTCTCGATAACATCTGCTGCAGCGCACTTCGGTGGGCACTTTTTGGGTAGGGAGAAAATAAAGTTTGATGTCCATGCGTAGAAAGTAAGTAGTAAGTAAGTAATCTTTATTTCTATACCGCCTTTCACAGACCAGAGTCACAAAGCGGTTTACAGTTGTTATTTCTGGGCATTTGTCTCTCACTCCACACAGAGATGGGAGCGGGGTCGCCGAACAGGAGGCGCATGCCAGAACTATTGTACATATTTTTAGTGGTAGGGGAAACCGTAGTACCCGGGGGAAACCTACGCAAACACGGGGAGAACATGCAAACTCCACTCAGAAAGGCCCTGGTCCGACCAGGATTAGAACCCAGGACCTTCTTGCTCAGAGGCAAGAGTGCTATCCACTCAGCCACCGTACCGAAAAAAAAAAGGACAAAGGGAATCACATGGACTTTTAGAATGTACATAGAGAGAATGAGGACAATAAGAATTAAGAAAAAAAAAATATTAAAAGTTGTTATTTTCTTACTTAACTATTATTTTGTCTG